GCCTACGGCGCTCGAGGTCCCCTCAAGCAGTGGGAAGAACCCCCCCATTCAAAATCCTGGCTACGGGCATGGTCATACTTCATTAGTTTTGGTAGAATTCATTTCGTAGCAGATTTACTTGTCATTCTGTTACAGAACGAATGGAAATCTGGAATTTTACAACAACCACTAATATCTGTTGAAGAAAAATTGAGAAGATAAAAACTTAACATGCTGTGCAAGAGGCAGAGGTAAATGTGTATCAGAGGTAAATGTATATGTGCTGAACACCACCAGGACTGTGCACCTAGGAAAAGGTAAGAGAATTGCGGTGAAAGTTTGAGAGCAGTTCATGAGAACCTAACACCAATGTAGACAAGAAAGATGTTTAACGAGGTCTCCATGTGTATAGATGAAACTAAACTTCCTCACATCACATTGGGATAGAACCATTGCACACTGCTTTTAAAATAAACATCAAATATTGCTGTAAAAATTTGTGTTCTTTTAGTTAGCTTGTTGCTTTTTTTCTCAAATAGTATCTTGGCCAATACAGAATTGTTGATTAAGGTTAAAGGTGGCAAGGTTCTATCTCACCTATGACACAGGGCTGGAAATACCACCAGGTAAGTTATTTCTGATATCCACCTGCACCTATGTGTACGTGTACCCTTCACCAGTTTATTATGTACTGAGTATTTGTTACTTAACTTGCCTTACACAGTTAACAGCCTAAAATCCTGATTTAAGATTCAATTAAGAATGGTACCAGCAATAAGTTAAAAATATGGTATTTTGGTAGACTTAAATTTTGAAAAGAGAGAAAATGAGAGGTGCAGGTAAGAAGTATTTCCAGCCCTGTACTCCCACCGTACACGTACCCAAGGTGACGACCACACTCATGATGATCTGACTGCCCGTGCCGAGCAACATGGCGAGCAGCATGGGCGAGCCGGGGGGACGGAACACGTCCCCGTGAACCAGCTTCCAGCCAAACTCCTCCTGCGCCTCTTCCTACGCATGTCAGGGTCACAAAAAATGGAACACGCGTTAGTGGACAAACGGCAAACAGACTTACTGAGTGTTGCGACGGTCATGCTGATGATCTGACAGCCTGTTCCGAGGAACACTGACAACAACATGCCCTTGCGGGGAGGCCTGAACACGTCTCCGTGTACCAGCTTCCAACCAAACTCTTCCTGTGCCTCTTCCTAAATAAAACATAGAGAGAGACAGCTGACATTACAGTTGTGTTCACAAACTGTAAAGCAGCAAAGTGGTTAGCCTGCTCCTAAACCCATGTACACGTACCTAATACATCTGTTAGGTACATAGCTCTAGCAAAGAGTTGGGCTAAGGTTCAATCCATGTTGAAAAAGTGGCCACATGGCTGAACAAGCTATCAAGTCTAAATTAAGGCTTTGATTGACTGATTTATTGATTGATTTATTGATTGATAAGGCTAGTGAAATGGGAACCAAACCTCGTTCAATTGTGGGTTAAGGCCAGGGCTTTCAAGCGTTATGGAGTGATCATAAAATACATTTTGTGAAGAGAGAGAAATGCACGATACCAAAACCTTTATTCAGTATACTATGTCATGTGAAAAGAGCATCCACTAACACCTGTTTATGTCAGTGTGAGGATTTGAAAGGTACATCTACCTCAAAGCTCTTAGCTCTTCAGATCTTTTTTTTAGCAAATTTGTCGCTTCTACTGCCCATATCTTCAGATCTCTTTCAACTCATAACATTATTACACCTTCAATCTCCACAAAACCTTGATATCTTCATGCACTTTTGCCTTCCAGTGACATCAAAGGAAAGAATGCCTTTTAACCTTTACTTGTGCCTGGAGCTGTACAGCCTTTCCTGTGCATATTAAGTCACCAAGGGAGGCAACGACCTTCCAACTTGTCTGAATAAAGACTTACATAAGGACACAACTAATGAGAGAGCTACGGGCTAGATTAGAAAATATCTAGTCAAATGTCGCTGATTTAAATTCCTTAGTTCACACAGGTTTTCCACTGAGACTTCAGCTATTTATTCTACATTCCCCTCAGGGCAAAGCCTTTCTTGTCTTCCTTACTGAAAAACAGTTCTTTGAAGTTCTTCATTAAAAGGGAAGTTTAATGATACCTTTCTTTTGAGTTAAATAGACATCATATATGTACATAGTATATACTGGATTCTGATATGGTATATTCTGGATAACCTTTTATTACCTTTCTCAAAGGTGAAAGGAAACATTGACAGATGAAAAAAAAAAGTACTTAGAGATGTACCAATCTAGTGAACTTTTTCAGAGATTTTTTAGATAGTACTTTGTTCCGGACAGCTGAATTAAAAGCCTTTCAACCATTTGTTTGATTTTATACATACATGTATCTGCCTTGCAGCCATTTGTTTTTTTTCCTATGTCAATGCCCTTAGTTAGATGCCCTCTTTCTCTAAGTAATCATTCTTCAAAAAACTAATTTACTTTGAGCTTTGCTTATATAAGCCGGCAAGTAAGAAGACATAGCCTGGAGAAATTAACACCTAATGAGATCATTAAAAGGTAGATTATGTTTTGGTGAAATGTCCCTGTATCGAGGTTTGATGCACAGAAGCTAACATTGGTTGTGTCCTCGAAATAAGGCACAAATATAAAATCCTTTATTGTAAGCTTAGATAATTTCATTAATGATACCACATTGCATTGTTACAAAGTGCGAACTGAGATGGTGTTTACAATCAGTTACTGTACATGTATGTTTGTGCATACTGGTATCAGAAGATTGACACTGGAAAAAAAAAAGTTGAAAGCTTCTTGCCAAGAGGGTTTTGAATGAAATCCCATTAATATGCAAGAAACATCTTCAAACACGTCAGATGTTGCAAAGATTCCTTTCAGTCTCAGCGTGAAACACTTAAGAACCGCATGTAAAAATAGTCAAAACCAGTTATCACCTGTTAGTACCAGTTTACATCCGCCCAAGTCACTCAGGATTGGCTGAGAGATTTCCATCCAGGCTGGGGTATTGTACATCCATTTACTTTTGCAGAGGTTTTATTTTACAATTTTTTACAAAATATAAAGAGATTTTTGCAATGTTTTAAGTTTGTGGTTGAATCAATTTTCAATACAAATTAGCTATAGATTCGAAACACATATTGACAATTTGCGGTGAAGAGGTCCATGCAAATATTAACCCACTGCGAAAGTTTAGAGATGTACAGTAGCTTTTTTTTACATTTGTATTAGTTGTAGTGTTAGGCAAGCCTGTGCTTCAAAATATCGCACTGTCAGGGGCTGATTGGGTCTCCTCCCTTGACCAAATTGAAAGAGTTGCTAGAAGCGTGATGTGGTCAGACTAAGGTGTTAGCTATATGGGGTGAAGAATAACCTTATACCACGTAAAATATGGGCAGGCAGAGTCTAGTAAAAGCTTATTTTCAGCTACTAACAGCTTGTTATTGACTTCAAGGACTTCTATGCATGCAGGAAGAAGCTTCTAGAAGGTAGCCTGAAAATAGACACGGCACACTTACAGCCTCCAACTGCTCGCAGCATGCGGTGTTCAGGCGACGGACAAGAAAGGAAAGAAGCAAAGGGAAGTGTCGTTTACAGCACAGCAGGAATATTGTATAATACACCAAGCAACGCAGGGTGCCATGCAAAAATCAAATCACACCAGAAAGTCACTTCATGAAATACACCGTAGGAAGTAACATTACAAATTCTACACAAGTATGGTGTGTTTGTCAAAGGCTTCACTGTTAATTAGCCCCAAATCACTGGATTGGGATTCAAATCATGTTTATACAAATTGACTGATTGACGGGTTAGGGAAAATATAGCTTCAAGGTTATATCTTGAAAGGTTTGACTGTTAACTTGCTCAGCAAAGGAATATATAATTACACTCCACTTTAGATGCAGTTACCAGAAAAAGTCATTAAAGAACAGAATTGAGGAATACACAGTTGAATTATTCTGTACGGCAAGACAAGTCTGTATGTTGAACCATAATGCATAAGCTACTGGAATGGACAGTAATAGTTTTTCTGAAATGATTTATGTTTTTCTATGATTTCAGATATTACGTGTGTCTAAATGTTACCTGCTTTATACATGTTATAATGTAATGTTTTTGAGACCACTGGGAAGAATAGCTTGCCATGCTAAATTAGTAAAGTAAAAGTGGATCATAGTCAAATGGAGTGTGAAATGTAATGATTTCAAACAGCTATGGGCATCACTACTGCAGTGTTTGAAATACCCATCTGCAGCCTGCATTTTGCAGAGACATTTTCAACATTGCAGATTGAAGAAAAATTAGGCAACCTGCAATATTGCAGACTGAAAAAATCAGGATAAGGGTTCAATGATGTTTAAGAGCTTTTCTACCACTGCTAATTTGGCAACTTTAAGAAAGAAAGAACATGAGGAACTTACGGCAGACTCCATCTGGTTGTAGCGAGCGATGTCCTTGTGCAGAGTCCTGAGAAGAATCATGGCCACCATACCGGACAGGAACAGCACAATCACCAGAGAGTTCATGATACTGTGGGGAGATGAGTTCACAGGTTAACACTTCCATTTCCTACAGATGAATATGATAATAAATGCATAAAGTTTACCTTCGCATATAGTCTGCTCTGTTACTTGTAAACACATTCATACATACCAATGGTGACAGGAGTCTAAATCCCTCCTGCTATAAAATTGCAACATGATGTAACCCAACACTAGTTACCATGGTGACAGATGTCTGGTTCAGGTCATTGACTTTATTGGTTTGGAGAAGAGGAGGAAACAAAGCAAAAACAATATTTTTCCTTCGGTAAATATAATAAATATAGAATACTAAAAAATGTATTCCATATCAACTAAAGATTGCCTAATGGCTGAAAGGTTGGAGTGAGATCTGACACATCGGAGGGCTGGGACTGAGGGTGATGTGTTGTATTTCATTTTTGTCATGCCCACCAGAGAAAACATACATTTCAATGCAAAATGTGCCAAAATTTAGTGTCCCTGAACAAATACAACATTAATTCCAACGTCTGAATCTGGTATTCAAACGGCCTAGTGGTTAGGCTGGGAGACAGGATTAAAAGGTCAAGGGTTCAATTCTATTTGTGTCCTACAGAAAGGCACTTATCACAACTTTCCTCACTCTGCCCAGATGTAAATGGGTACTTGACTTTTGTTCAGTAGGCAAAAAGCAATGGAAAACGAGGGATGACCTTTACAATGCACCTGCATCTATCTTCTATACCCTTTACAGCATTAGAAATAACCATCTGCTGTCTGCAATATCGCAGAAGAACAATTTAGCAGCCTGCAATTTTGCTGACTGAAAAAAATCAAGCTAGGGGTTCAGTGGTGTTTAAGAGCTTTGGTGTTTACTACTTACTCTATAATATAAGACTAATTCTGTATGTAAAAATTTTTGCTAACATACAATTTTGTATATTCCATTGCTTTTAGATTCCAACTTTTAAATGTGTACTTGCATAGAGTATTTCCGAATTGCAGAACAAATTTTTGACACTCTTGACACTGAAAAAAAAGCATTTCTACCACTGCTTTAGAAAGTTAGATGCACATCTATGCAAATCCATAAAGGTCTGGTCTGACAACTTACGGGGTATTTCTCTATGTGGTTGGACCAATAAACTTTGATAAATTTCCATCTTTACCGACATGTAGAGCAGACTACTGACCTGAACCACTGGATGTTGGTATGAGGCATGGAGTCCAGAATATAGTCCCAGCGAGATGCCCACTTGTGCCCATTTTGTTTCTGTTAAGGTAAAACAATAATGCAAAAATAAATCACACAAAAACATCATATTCCATTGTGCTTATTAAACTTTCTTGTTAGCTTCATGTGTTGATTACCTCTAACACAACATTAATCTGTGTGTGCGTGAGGAGCCCTCTTACATTCCAGCTTTGAACAACAGATCTAACACCTTAGGTCTAACACCAAGTATGATAGTCCAAAAGAGCCCCCTTGCACATCTCACAGGTATTGCAGACAACTTACCACAAACTCCACTGAGTAAGTGTAGTTGAACTTGGTGGTTTTGTCGAACTTGCCGGGCAGTCCGAGGGGCCGGTCCTCAGGGCACTCACCAGGTCTGGGGTGATTAATACTGAAAGGGAAAAGCAATCAGGCATTAGTCAACTGTTAATCTTATTCACAATGGTTTTATGTTCTCCATTTTTAAGGTGACCACATCAACATCATCACACAGCTAATATCTGTTCCAACCCAGCAGATTTTAGAAGCCCAAGCATTTTCTAAATCTAAATTGGGGGGGGGGGGATTTTTTCCCTTTCATTCCTGTTTTTTTTTTTAAGATCAAAATAATCCATGATTACAAAAACAACAGAACTCTGTAAAATGGAAGGCCTTGACATGATCTGGGTTGGCCATAATTACAAAACCTGCTTGGCTGGTTCTGTATTATACATTTAAGACACATTATGGGAGGGTCAGAGTGGAACATATTGTTGTAAAGGATAGGTGTGGTTTAATAGTAGATTGACTGCTCCAGATCCATCACCAACCTAAGTGTTGGGAGTGGTAAGAGACAAGGTTGCAAGAAGGTCCTAAATTTGTGACATTTTGTAATGACATGCCCTACATATATTGTACATATCACTTCAGCAGAACGTCTCATACAAGGTCGTACTCACATATATAAAGTTAACATCCCATCTGTAGTTTCCAAATATTGTGTCGGAAAAGGTATCGTCTGCAACAGGCAAAATTCTGATGCAACACTGACCAAAAATCCAACGAAAACCATGAAAAATTGGTGTTTTGCACCGGCACAGTAAGTTCTGCTGATGTGCCACATTGTACCATGTAGCAATGTAGTATTCTTGAGCAATACAGTTTATTCCTGTACCTTTTTGGCTCCAGCTTGGCAGACAGCAGCCTGGCCCCAGGCCAGTTCTCTCCCTCCCCATCGTTATAGCTGATGAAGATGTCCACATGGTTGAACAGGTAGTAGGTGTCCTTCTCATTGTACAGGGGCTAATGCAAACAGGAAAACCATTAACCTTATGTACAGTAACCACACTTCAAGGTAGAGCTGAAAAATCTTGATACAATGAATGATGTCGCTGTGTGCATTTGATTTTTACATGTTTCTCACTAGCATACAATACTAAGTTTTGCTCTGTATGCAAGTTTAGAAATGGCATACCACAATTCAAAATCGGTAAGTCAAAGTTCCAAAACCTGAAACAAGTTAGAACTGATCTTAAAAATACTGGTGTGTTTCTGTTGCAAATTTCAGGGTATCCTAACATCATATTTGAGGTAATGTCCTCTATAAAATCATGTTAAGATGGAATAATTAACTGCAGAAATTGTGGTGCAGTGGCACCCCCACACAAGACAAACAAACCTAAAAAATTCTGTGTTGTTTCTACTAGAACTTCTACTAGTTCAAGCAGCTTGTTATTTTCAGTGCTATGACGTTGTAAACCTTCTTACATTGATGACGCAGGCATCCTTTGGTGTCCCCTTCTTGGTAACATAGCAGCCTACAGGGAAGCCAGGGTTACAGTACTTCCTGTCCCCCTCCACATCATAACACCATGTCACAGGCATGTTGTCAATGATCCTGACAAAGTACAGAGAGAAACTTCGATTTACAATTTTACCTTTTCACAACAAACCACACTAAAAGTTATATCTGGTACGAATACTTGAATAAGACAAGTATATCATACAAAATAAACTGGATACAGTCAGGTTCCAAACAGCTGTATTTTATCAGTAAGCTGTGAATGAAATACACTGGTATAGACTTGTTTATCTTGTACAATGTATTCTTAGGTACTGGATGTATGCAGAACAATTACCTTCTGCTCTTTCTAAAGTGGACCAGATACATAACATGAGGACACTTTTATTTTCAATGTCAATGTTAGAAAACCAATTGTACAAAGTTTCATCACTTAAGTGTCAGATCATGGAACTAGAAAAGGTTGATCAGATTGAAAAATTATTTATGTCCCTTCCAGGGGACCTCCCAGAAAAAGTCAAGGGTCGGCAGTTTTTTCTAGGGTCGCTCGAGAAACAGGAAACACAACATTTTTTTTCCTAGGCCTTACCAGTGGTGTTGGTAGTTCTGAAGGACGCCCCTCTTCAAGAAGTTCAAGTTCTTAGTCTGGTCTGCATTGTTGACCTCGTAAGTCTTAGCTCCGCAGAGGTCACGGCATTTCTCGTCTTTCAAAAACGTTATCTGTGGAGAAGGGTGGATAAAAACATGGCTCCTGAAATGGTCCCATGATGACAAAAGTACTGTATTTCAAGTTTAAGATAGGACTCATGCTTTGTACCTTAAAGTATTATGTTGCACCATTTGTCTGAGTCTGAAATAGAAATGTAGTACACGACTACACGTATAGTATATATCTCTCCTATTAACTTTAAATTCATCTTATCATTATATTTTCCATATACCAATTGTATACAGTTTTGTTATTTATATTTCACTTGATTATGTTGTGTTGTATGGACTCTAGGAAGAATAGTGTCAATGTAACCTACACTAATGGAGATCCCAATAAAACAAACAAACATGCATGTAAGGTATCTGATTTTGGACTCAGACACATCCTGCTTACAAATTATTATTGAGAATGAAATAAAAACACTGACATTGTACATGGAAGGGCGGATCCTGTCTCCAAACAGAACTTGTCCCAGGTTCTCGGTCGGACTCTTGGCCCACTCCTCAGATGGAACACAGAAGTCAAACCTGCCAGAAAGAGATAAACAATCCAGTTATACATAATATTTACCTTAACAAAGAAAAATATGTTTCTGTGCTGCTTGTGTGGGTGTGTCTGTAAATAGCATGACTCTAGAAGTTGAGGACAAACCCATATGATATTTGGTATGTCGGTACATGTACATGGTGTCCAAAAACTTGAAAATGGAAGGACAAATATGACAATTAAGTTTTTGTCTTGTTAAATTTTACATGTATTTATAAATACATGTAAAATTTAACAAGACAAAAACCAATTTTCCTACCTGTCATATTCGTATGGGATGATGCTTTCCACCGAGTCCAGTCTGTTCACAAAGAGCTCCACTTTACTCTGCAATGAAACGTGACAACTTAATTAGATACCATTCACTAATCATTGTGTTGTCACACAGCTTCAGTGTGTATGCTCGCCATTTCTACCTAACATCATGTCAACAATAATTTCTTTGCAAGTTTTTTTGTAATTCTAGGAGAGGAACTCTTCCCATTTTGGATACAATATTATACTGGCAGTTGTCAGCTCCCTTAGACTAGAGTATTACTATCAATCCTTAGCTTAAGCCTTGATTAGTCCTCAAAGATGTTTATCACTTGCACTCTCACTGCCACGTCATTATTAAATTATAACAAAAATTTTAATATTTGACATTGAATGATTGAGTGGCACACAAGGATCTATACACACTATAGACTATATGACGTGGCCACATACATGTGTATAGCCTTGAGGCACACACATCAGGTAACAATAGTACTAGTACTCAGTAATAGGCATCTCTGGGAAAACCTGTTTTTCTACTACCAGTACGTCATACTATCATAGTTTCCGAAGTCAGACTACTTAAGGTGGAACAGGTTTCTTTACTGGCCGAGGTACATATCTAGTGCAGTGAAAGTCATTTACATAATCGCAAAGAAAATTATTCAAAGTTGTAAACCCTTAATTTTAGAAAAAAACTGTGTTTGTATGACATGACAGTGATGCTTATCATTTCGTCATTGAACTTATTTTTTAACTTCAACTTCAATTTTAAGCACCCTTTCGACTCTTAACATGATATGTCATATGTGACACTAGTTCGTAGTATGAGATTGTTGTAACAATTACTAACATCATCAAATCCTATATCATATTTTATGTGCATTGAATCTAGTCATGATTCATGATTGCCAATGGCATACAGTAAATCACTGCTATACAAATACATTGGTCTTGGTGGTATATTTGGAATGAAATGTAACATTACCACAACATTTTTTTGCCACCTGCACAAATCCATCATTTGATAATATAGACTACATGCTATGGGACTCAAGACTACATACTACGTGATACTTCATCAATGGTACTTAAAATCACTTTAGTAGTCTATCCATTGTTTTTACATTAAAACTTGTCTTGAAACAGACACATTATTAACAGCCTGGGTGTGTTGGGTTCTTGTACACCCACATAATTTCAGAAGTGGATAATTTGTTTTACCTTTTTTTACCTGTACATTAATAAAACAAAGTTAAGAAGCTATCCAAGCAAGTTGACAAGGACAAAGATTAAGCTAAATGTAGGATAGACCACCATAGCAGACAAAAAGATACTTATTAAGGAAAATATTATGTTCCAAAACTCTAACTGCCCCCCTCCCCACCCTTTTTCGTGGTGTAAATGACGTACACAGCTAGCATTAGCAACCATTTTCTAACATGCCCTCTGGCGAATATGATGTGGCCGGTGGGACAGGCCATGCAGACATTTACCGACTGGAATTTGGTCTGCTAACATTTTCAAGGTTCCTAATTGGTTTGAGTAAGAAAATTTATGTCGACAAGGGTTCGTACAAGACGATCTGCATGTTGCCTTGGCAAAATTATATCTATACGCTCGTGCTATATGAGTAGTTGACATGATAATTTTTACACAACTAAAGCATTATGTCAAGAACATCGACGTCTCACGCAAAAATATCAGAAAGACTGCCACTTTTGACGAAGAATAAATGTGACACAAATGCAGAAAGCTGGAGGTAACTTACTCTACATTCTCCCTGTTCAAGCTTTTCCTTGTTTGCCTCGTCTCTTGGATCGCAGTAGCTCACAGGTGCCAGACCCGGCAGGTAGAAACCCCTCACTTCCACCGCCAAGCACACGGCTAAAACGACAACAGCCGACCTTAAATACATCTTGACTAGTACTAGAGACTTTTCGTTGCCTCCTGGTCGCCTTGTTACGTACGGAAAGGTGAAAGTTTCGGTTGAAAGTTGGGGTGAAACGTGGAAGTCTTGTCCGGAACGTGTCCCCGAGCAGCTATGGCGGACACGTCATTCACGCGCACTGCATGATGGGAAGGAGAAGGGCGGGGTCGTTTGAACACTTGTTGTCTGGTCATAGATCCCATGGTCTGGTGAGATCTTATCTCCAAGCAGATGTGGCGTTATGGTTCCGGCTCATTTCTGATCGTTAGGCCATGTTGATTTGATTATATGGATGACATCCGCGCGCGCATGAATTTTCGGCCGTTTCCAAAAAAAAAGTTTTCAACCATACTGTAAATCGTACAAAATAGTTGCAAAATGAGCAAAAATATACCATAAGTTACAAAAAAAATTAATAAAAACTATACCAAAGTCGTAGAATGCCAAAATCAAACGAAAAAAAACGAAATTGTAAAGAAATGAACTTGAAGACTAGATTATTCGCCAAACCATATTCTGTGCCATTTGCTCAACCATCATGACCACGTAGATTTCATAATGAAAAGAACTTTTTTTTTTTTGCAAAACTTTTTTTTTATTCGCACGCGCGCATCAGTTTTGGGGCTCCCGGAGGATGTCATCCATATAATCAAATCAACATGGCCTTATCTGAACACATGACATTCATGATTGTGCATCTCGTCTTTCACAGTTGCATTCCTCCATTTTTTCCTGGATGCCTAACCTTACCCTTCTGTCATTCGGGAAAACAATAGTGTCTCAGTAGAATATGGATTATCAATATCAAGGTGAATAGCATAACTGTTATAATAACGTTAGCGTTACGTACGTTAATTACATGAAAAAAAAACAAGTTCATCGTAAAACCATGCCCGAAGACAGTAACCCTGTCAGACCCTGCTTCCCAGAGACTAAGTCAAACTGATGTTAGTGAAAACTTGGGTAAATATCGGAAAATAAAATAACGGTTAAACAACAGTTCCGAGATCTCATACCTCCATGAAATATGGGCTTGACATGTAACGTTAACAATGTAAATTTCTTCTTTAATTATGCAAATGACGTCTACATTAACATGATATATATACATCGTGATGTTAACTTTTGATTAACTTCCGTATGTCCCAAGTATGAAATTCCCATCGTTTGCCACTAAGGAGTCATAGAATTTTCAGTAACGTTAGGTTTGTGGTAGCTGTAGATGTAACATAACTTCTCAACAAATGTGTCACTCTTTTCACCGTGCTATTTCTGTGATCCGTTGTCAGTTTTTTTTGTGATAAAGTGACGGCGTTTGGCCGTAGTTTTAATTTGTTTGGCCGAATATGAATAAAAAAATTACACAGCCTCAGGGAGGAAAACAGGAAAAACCACACGCCTTCACAGCCCGGAGTTCTATTAGTACCGCGGGCCTAAAACAGGGGTCACACAGTCGACGGGATTCAGCCGTATTATTGGTCGTCGAAAGGTCGACGATCTTAAACAAAATCGTCAGAGAGTTGAGCTAATTTTTCTCTAAGCTAGCACATCGAATTGGTGACCGGCGAACATCGGCCGAGTCCCGAAAACCACTGGATAATCGAGGAGCTTTCGTCCTTGGGATAATCGAGAGAGCTCCGGGCGTATTACTGCCGAAAACTGTGTCGATTTGAGCTCGCAGACTCGTTGGCCGACCGATCGGTTTTCCTTCTGTGTGACCGGGGGTATAAGAGAAACAACCAACATGTTGGTCCTCATGAGGGCAGCCAATCTTCTATCTCTCCTACTGATGATGACGTTACAACAGGCTGCTTCTACAGGTAGGCATCTATTGCTTAACTTGAGTTAAAAGTCGATGGCACTTGAACCAACCACAGCAACACATTGCAAGCTAGCAACGGTTTGATGTAACAGTCAAGAAAGTGACCACAGCTGGAGACATGCGATTACAGGCCTTCCCAGATTTCAAGCCAACAAGAGATATAGTCGAAGGTTTCAAGATTCTACAGCTGACTCATTAGCCATTTTAGATATCTGCATTACGCCCATCGTTCTTTATTAAAATAGAAAATGAAGGGCGTAGTGCAGATGTCTCCAACTTGAACTTCGTTGACAATTTAGCACGGTGTGAAACAGCCGTTTCGCTATTTTTCTCTGTGTACCAATTGCAAACTAAGTCATTGAACTAACTCCAGAGGAGAAGTATTGTGAAGTACCAGATTGTGGTCACAGGCAGATGTCTAATTCAAATATATACAATACACACAGAGACAGGCCACTGATGGATGCAAACGAATACGTCAAGTTCATTTTTTTTTAAATCAAATCTGTTTCTCTTATTGCATTCAACAACCAACGTTTAACCGAAGGTTTTTTTCTTTTAAGTAATCCAGAGAGATCGACCTAAGAAAGACACTTAGACGATTATGATATGGTCGAAGTGATGCATATCAGACGTCATTATTAGAAGACTTGAATACCGGTTTCACCAATCATAATTAACGTTAATCACATTGGTGCCATTAAGAAATAAAGCAGATGGCACAACATACGCGGTGAAGCTATCTGGTGGAAATAAACGTACGGCATGGTCGAGCAATGTATAATATATTGATTGATAAAATGCTTAGATAGTGGACAAGTGGACACTGCAGCTGGCATACCTTGACAATAAAGATAATTTGGGCCGGCTGAATCCGTTGATCTCCCTGCATTCATTTGTGGTACTCAATGCATATGGCAGGACATAATTGCAGGCTACGTCACAGAGAAACTTTCCAGTTCACCGTATACGTAGTTAGCTTAAAACTGATTACAGCTAATTGTGGATGATCGGTCTAATTAATACTTTAATCATGGGTCCCTATGCATTCATTTTGTAATCATTCGCAATAATGACAGTGATGATAGAAATTGTCACATTGTCTTTCACGTCTTTCAGTTTCATCCATTAAAGTTTCATAAAGGTCACATATTTGTGATCGCCTGTTGGAGGAGGGTCATTGAATGATTAAAACATACCAACTCCATCGTTATTGTCCACTGTATTCAGAGAACTCCACATTCCTCAAGAAGCCTGACGTTCTTCGTCTGCATGAAGACCTGTTTGTGAGGAGCGGCTACGACTCCTATATCCGCCCCATCAGAGACCCCAATGGACCCACCAACGTCACACTAGATCTGGCACTGGCCAACATCATAAACCTGGTGAGGGAAAGTGTGATTTATTTACTTATATATTTTTGTTAATGAAGATTTTCCACATTTGTGGAAGAATTGACATAACAGGTGATTATCACCTCTTCAAGATGTCAACTCAGAGATCTAGACCAGACTGTAAGGTTAGTTGAACTACTTAACCGGGAACGTCCCCTATATATATACTCTTTTCGATAAGTGTGGTGAGTTCTTTAACGTGCGTGGGATGTAGCTCTCCCTAATACGGGACCTCCGTTTAACGTCCTATCTCAGGGACGTCCCTGACCGAAGCTAGATACACATGAGTGAAGTGAGGAAAGTCGTGTTAAGTGCTTCCAATGGCACAAATCAGTGGCATCGGGTAGCTACATAGGATTCTAACCCGGGACCTCTTGGGTCTGAGCCACCATGTCTTGCATACGTCTATTAATAATATTACTTAACGTTATATTTGACAATTATTCAGAAAATGTGGCCTCTTGCTTTACTGTTGGACACTATTCTCTTGCTCTTGCTCAATGAATACGACATCGGTCTTCTTGTACAACAACAGGATTGTTTCATTCCTTCTTGCAAAATCTAATTTTATGTTTTAACCACGTGCACATCCGTTCCATTAAAAGATTCACTTGGTATTTTTTTTACACAGGACGAGAAGAACCAGGTTCTGACGGCAGAGGTCTGGTTAAGACTGGTGAGTTTGCAACATTTTTTATTAAACCTACATTTGTATTACATAATCAAGTTATGCATTTGACATATATCTATATATACTGTACAAGTTCATGGTTTGAATCTGTCCTCCACTGCTCTATGATGATCTGTTGCTTACCTTCTTGTGCACTTCACGTTGTTCCAGAAATGGACTGACGAGTTTCTGACCTGGAATGTGAGTGAGTACGGTGGGATAGAGACCATTGCAACACAAGCCGAGAATATCTGGAGACCAGACATGTTCCTTTACCACAAGTAAGCATGACGTTACGTTATTGTAGTTATATGAACATTTTCATCCTTTTTAGATGCGCATGTGTCTTGACTAGATGTATGGGACTAACAAAAAGATTACGCATGTCTTTCATACCTTGCGTCGTAAGAGAGCAATGTGATATTATGACATAACGTTACATGCAAGTCGAACAATGTATCAAACTTTCTACAACTATTTGAACATCAAAATACAATCATCTTGACTATTACCTGTTGATTTGATTCTGATTTAGCTATTGATTATTACATTCACTGTCGTGTTACGTCTTTGATACGTTAGAGAGATTAAGAATTGTCATTGGATGTTTTGGTACTGAAAAAAATGACGAT